TCCAGATCAGCCTGGCTAAAATGGTGAAACACCATTTCTACTAAAAATACAAAAAATTAACCGGGCACAGTGGCATGTGCCTGAAAGCCCAGCTACTTGGGAGGCTGAGGCAGGAGAATTGCTGGAACCCAGGAGACAGAGAGCCAAGATCATGCCATTGTACTCCAGCTTGGGCAACAAGAGTGAAGCTCTGTCTCAAAAAAAAAAAAAAAAAAAAGAAATAGGCTTTACTGAGGTATAACTACATGCAATGTTAATTCAGCAATTTTAAGCGTACAACTGAATTAGTTTTTACAAATATACCCAACTGTGTAACCACTACCACAATCCAGATGTAGAACATTTCTATCATCTCAGTAAGTTGCCTCATGCCCTTTGGCAGTCAGGAATTATCTTTTACTTAGCAAGTTATAAATTGCCCTATAACCTTGTACAACAGTCTCATTTCCTAAGAATAGCTCCATTTTATACATGCCAAGCCGTCTCGCTATAACTCAGCCCAAATGAGAACTGTTATATCATGCTTAGAATTATATTTCAGAAGTGTAAAGGAGCACATTTAAATGTTTCGAGTATGAAATATTGGCTATGGTTCAAACGATATGAAATAAGAATAGCAAGCTTTCTGGGGAGGTACAAAAGAATCACCAAGTGTTTTAATCTTTCAGGAATACGTTCATTCCTAACGTCCACCAAACTCTACTGGTGGGAACTCCTAAGCTGTCTATTAATAGCTAGGAAAGATTCAGCAGATCTGTTCTCAGAGGACTGGGTGTAAAAATTTTCCCGATCTCTAGTGACTGACAGTTCTATTAATAGACTAACTTTTGAACTTTACAGCATTACTTGGTGACAACAAGCTATAAGATACTTCACATAAAATACCAAGCTTCATATAAAATATCAAGATTCTAGCACTGTTGAGTGCCTAGCACAAACTGTGTCATTTCCCTACCACCCACTGGTTATGCCCAGGAACCTGCATGTTGAGACTGCAGTTTTCCCTGTCCAAATTGGAACACAGAGATCAAAGTCCTTTGCCAACTGCCACCGTACAAAGCAGAGCCATTTCCCTTTCAGTGGAGTCAAGCAGCCAACACACCTGGCACATCCAGAATTCCTGCATGCCAGAAATGGCACACACCCCATAAGATTTGGTATGTTTGAAAAAGTCTGTTTACTGCACTTAGGAAGACAGGTTTGCTGTTATTCAATTTCTCACATGAACTGTTCTTCCTTCCTCAAATGCACACATGAGTAGTATGAGAAGGCCAGAGGGGTCTCAATGGACTGGGCCATTTTCTATCTCCTGCACCTGCCACAATGTAACATGAGTGCCTGTTTTCTCTGTTCTTACCTCCCCACCCCCAAGCTTCAGTTACATTATGAATAATGCAGGCTGAATTACAGATGCACAGCTGACAGGCCTGCTCACCCATGTTTTCTACTCCAGGGGTACTACTTGGACCTTCTTCCACATTCCTCCTTACTGGAGCTTTTCACAAACCACTTCTCAGGAATCTCTTCTGCCTGGGTCATCATTGTAAACTAAGGAAGTTTCTCAAATTTCAAAAGGTCTGTAAGCAGTTTAAAAAATATCAAGGAACTCTGGGAGTAAGACAGGCTTGATCTCCGAGCTCTTGGGTTTGGGCAGATACACCTGTGATTATAAATGATTAGTGTAGAAGCTGGAAAGACATGAATCTCAGGGTACAAGATAGGCTCTTCAGGCACTACAATATTAGGTGGTATTTTCTGGCCAGAAAGTTTTTCCCTTAAAAGGCTAGCTGAAATAGTAATTCAATCTCTAGAATCTAGCCAGGAAAACCAATACTATGGCCTGTCACAATGTTTCTGGAAGAGCTATGATTCTATGTAAGATTTTAAGTAACGGGACATCTAAGTAGCTGGGTCGGTAAGGAAGCACAGGATAGGTAAAAAGAAGGAAGTGGTTTGCCAAGGCCTATTAGGATATCTCATCAGAGGATGGGTCTAGGAAGTACACAATCCCACTTAAAAGGAAAACAGTATTTTGGAAACAGCATACATAAGAAACTGCAGGTTTTAGAGCTACGAAAAGCTGGAGGAATGACAACTTCTCTAAATAGTTGTTTACACAGAAGATGAAAAGCAAAAGAACCCTGCAGGAAAAAATAAACTGCCAGTATACTTGATAGGAAGTATTTCAGTGCAATTTTGAGGGTAGCACACAGATTGATAACTCTCTGGATCCTGCTGCTTGGTTTGTTGTGGGTGGGACCAACCTAAGTTGTTTAGGGCAGGCCTATCGCATATTTCCCAATATGTAGTTGGTATGTTTTGGAAGGAGTTTTATCTCTAGTCAGACAGGTACCACCAGCTCTTGTAAGGGAGAAGTTAAAAGGGATAACAAATACTTGAAGACAACATATAAGTTATTAGTGTCTAAGATCACTACTGGTCAACACTAGTACTGATCAAAGAATCAATTGGCCTGGAAAGTGGATCTGGTAAGAACTTGGATGAGAAATGACCACATATGAAGGCCATGAAATGATACACAATTTTTGAAAATGCAAAATCAGTATTGACTTGAGACCCAAGTCAGGATATAAATCAATTAAACATTAAAATGATGGTGAATAATAACGGGAGAACACAAACTTGAATGAGAGAAAAATCTGGGGAAATTAAAATTTTAGATTTGTAATTTAAGTTTAAATTGATAGTCCTGGATAAGTAGTTTAAAAGGGTTATAATTAAAATCAGCTCTGAATACAGTAACGCAAATGAAATACACAATTATTCACAACTGTTGATTAAGCAGTGAGGCATTTTCCACTGTAAGAGGACAGGTGAGAATGTGTTCCTGCCAACAACCTCCAACTTCCACCTTCAATTTCCCCTCAAAATTCTCTAAGAGCCAACACAGTGGAGTTGATGGAAAGAAGACTTGTTTAGCCTAACTCTCCGGGTAGCAGAATGATTCCTGGCAAAGGAAAAGAAATATAGAGTGAGCTACTCCTCAGCATCAGTGTTTTTTTGGTCTCAAAGAGGATGCTCTTCAGAAAAAAAATATTTCAATTGGAATATCATTAGGCAAAATATCCCTTAAGGAAGACTTTTATACTTTTTGTATAAAATACACACAGTGAGCATGATCCATAAAATTACTTGCTATTGATAAGCAATTATCTCTGTAACCGACTGATTCATTTAACACTAACCTGAGTTTTAGGTTAGATTGGTGTGAACAGAAGTAATTTCAAATCCCAACTCCTCCAAAACCTTGAGAAAGTTGCCCATGCTAAGTCTGCTTTCCTCATCAGTAAGATGGGAATATTTCCCAACTCTTAGGGTTGTTGCTGGGAATCAACAAAATACTGTAATGAAATACTGTATATAAAACACCCAGACACATTGTCCAGCCCTCAGGAAACGTTTACCCCCATCCCCAAATCACCTATCTTTAACTCCTCTATCCTTTTTAGCCCAAAAGCATGCTATGTGATGGCCAGGTTACGAGTCACCATAAATACATATTAAACAGTCAAAAATAAACCTTGTTGAACAGAAGTAATCATACCAAAGACATGGATCCTTCTTTTAATAAAAGTTAATCCTAACTATCCGAAAATCACAGAAATATTGGACAAAACACTTAATCATTTCCACGGGAGGAGGTGAGACAAGAATAAAAGTAGCACTGGGGTGCACATCTCCATTCTGGGCTGTCCGGAGGCGAGGGCGTAGGCAAAGTCTTGGAAGAGACAAGGCAGAAAGGGGACAGAACACCAAAGCCAACGTGTGTGATGCCATTGTGTCTGAATGTGAAGGGAGCAAGGACGGGCACATCAAGAGCTACGAATAACCTTGAGTTTTGGAGACTGGGCACTGACAGGTACAACTTGGGACTTCCACTGTAAGTTCCTAGGGAGGAGTGTCTCGGGTTTGCTCTGCTTGTATGTGTTCCCTTAGTGCCTACACCAGTACCTTGCTTACAGAATTAATAATTGCACCCGTGTGCTGGTGGAAATACAATGGAAGAACAGACGCTCTCCAAACAAATGCTGATTGGAAAGGCCGGGAGCAAGGGGAAGATATGGCACCAAGGGTAGGTAACGCGAGAGGAGGGGAGGGCGGGTGTGCGTCCAGGGGCTTTTCACTTTCGTGACAGTGGGCTCCGGCCCCAGGGTCAATCTGCACATATGACGAAAAGGGGCCTGGGGCGACCCTGGCTGCGGTGCCAGCTGGCGGGAATGACGGCACCGGGACTGTCGGCAGCGATGGTGGAGGCAAGGTGAGCGACGGCGCCCCGGAAGCAGTTACCTGTAGTAGCTCAGGAGCCCGTTGCTCAGCACGAACCACCGCCGCTGGTAGCCTTTGATATAATTGGTCCATTTGAAGAGCCAGCCCTCTCGAGCCGAGCCCGAACCCCCAGCGCCCGAGCCCCCAGTCGGCGGCGCAGGGGCCGAGCCAGCCGCCGCCACTCCCCCGGCCCCGGGGCCCGGGCCTCCCGTCGCCGCCGCGGCTACCGTCCCTGACGCGGCCCCGGAGCCTGGCCCCGCGTCTCCGCGGCCGCCGCCTGCTCCCACCACTGGGGGACCGGCGCCGCCGCCGCCAAGTGCTGCAATGGCTGCCGGGCCTGGCCCCACCACTCCTCTCAGCTCCGTCGCCGCCATGAGCCGCCGCCGCCTGGAGATACAGGACCGGAACCGCCTACGAGACCCGCCGTCGCCGCCCGGAGCGCCCCACAAGGCTAGCGCATCAGCCACCGCTGCGCAGCGTCCCCGCCCCGCCAGGCCAGCCGGGGGGAGGAGGGCTCGGCCGCCGGGAAGGAGGACGTCGATTGGTGCTGCTGAATGTCACTTGCGGAAGACCCCGCGGACATTGGCATTTCTCTCGGGCCTGTCATTCTACAGCGCCCAGTGAGAGCCTGGGGTGGGACGCGTCCGCCAGTCCCACCGTTGATTGGTTCAGATAAAAGCCAATCAGATATATGAAGAAGCTCATTGGTGCTTTCCTGAAGTTTCCAGCGCTCAGGGAGGACGGGAGAATGCGGGGTGCCCGACCAGTCTGATTACCGATTGGCTGGTGTTTCCGCCACTCATTTCAGTTTATGCTTCTGTCACTGCCACGTCACCCCCTCCCATCACTTCTCATCATCCTTTTCCGCCCTTAAGGATTGGTGGTTTACGGTATCAGCTGCTCCACCTTTTCTACCATTTACTGAACGAGTTGAGGAAAAAGGGAAGGAATCTCGTCTTCGCATCCACATTTTCTTTTTTTTATTGGTAGGCACCTATGCCACTCTCGTGGTGGAGAGGCGGGGCAATAGTTGGAGATGATTGGTTCTGAGAATTGGCTGTGAAAGCGGCATTGCTGACCAATGAGAGAGAAGTAATATGAGAGGGGCAGGCCGGGGCAACCAATGAAATCCGAGAAGACCAGCTGGGGGCGTGTTCGCTGCTTCCAGCGTTTGGGAAGCTGGTGGGAGGTGAAAGTGACTCGGCCTCTTAAAAGCTTTTTTTTTGTGTGACGTGGGTGTGATGTCGTGTTCCCTTTTCTGAATTAAGACCTTCATAGTTTCTTTTTAGGAAGAGCCTGGCAGACAGAGTAACTCTCGATAATCAGCCCCCGCCTGAGGCTCCCTTGAAGGACCCCCCCTTCGAACTCAAAGCTGGAGACCGAGATTCCAGGGGTGTCCAGAAGTAGCTTCTCCAGTCCCTTCCTGGACACGTGGTCCCCTCGTTCCCTTCCCTGGTTTGCTCTTTGTCGCTCCACACCCCTTGTGTTTTGATTCTGGAATGTCATATGCCTCTACTAATTCTGTCCCCTTCAGAATGGGGACCTGACTTATGTGTCTCTTCTAGGCCAAAACGCCCTTGGCTCTAGCATCACAGATGCCCTGTATATGCTTAACTTTGGACAGAAAATTATTTTTTTGTATCTTGAAACTGATACAGTTGTACATATTTTCAGGGATCCATCTGATATTTTGATATATGTATTCAATGTATGATGATCAAATCAGTGTAATTGAGATATCCATCATCTCAAACATTATCTTTGTGTTAGGAACATTTTCTGCTATGAGTTCTCTTGTAGCAGAAAATTGTTATTTTTGATCAACTGACTATTCACACATTTGTGAAGATTACAAATCCAGTAACTAATGTAACATTTAAATGTAAGCTATTGTTGCAAATGTAGCCCAAAGCGCTGTACTTTGGGGAATCCAGCATCTGCTACATTTTTCTAGTTTGAACAGGCAATAGAAATAGCTGTTAGATACTGTAAAAGAAATTGAATTTCTTTGGCAATATGCTTCCCAGTGTCAATAAATTAAAGTATCTTTTTTTAGAAAGTGGTTTCAAAAGAAGAGAAGTATTTATTGAATTCTGGAGAGAGAATACTCTAAAAATCTGCCATTTTTAGGGCGAGGCGCAGTGGCTGATGCCTGTAATCCCAGCACTTTGGGAGGCTGAGGCAGGCGAATCACGAAGTCAACAATTGAGACCATCCTGGCCAACATGGTGAAACCCCGTCTCTACTAAAAATACAAAAATTAGCTGGGTGTGGTGGTGCCCACTGGTAGTCCCAGCTACTCTGGAGGCTGAGGCAGGAGAATCACTTGAACCTGGGAGGCAGATGTTGCAGTGAGCCAAGATAGTGCCACTGCACTTTAGCCTGGCAACACAGTGAGACTCTGTCTCAAAAAAAATAATAATAAAATAAAAATTAAACAATCTGCCATTTTTACTATCAGGGATCATTTCTATAGCTTATTACTAGTGAATTTCTCTGACTGTATAGAGCAAAATAAAATCTGTTAGATGTAGGTTATTTGGGATTAATTTTTTTTAAAACTAAACTAGAGTTAATCCATTTAGGCTTGAGTCCTGCTTTTGCTGTTTACTGGCTCTGTGACTTTTAGAAAATTGTTTAAGCACTCCCAGTCTCAGTTTTCACTTCTGTTAAACAGGAATAAAACCTCGCAGGAATGCGGTTGTGATTAAGTGTGTTTGAATGTGTTTGATAAACTGCAAATAGCTACAAACATGTGAGTTGTGCTGCCAAACACATCTCACAGGTTACTTGCCATCACAAAGGAGAAATGTACCTTTGCAACAGGGAGATCTGGCAGTCCCCACCTTAACTCAATTATCCAGTTTAATATCAGTAACCCTTAGACAACCAGCATTTTTATGAGATTCCCAGTGTGCTGCAGCATGAAATATACAGCATTACTTAATGGTGTTTTCTTGCCAAAAATACTGAAAATGAATCCAATCAAGGCTTTGGATCTAAGCTCCAGTTTACAAGGCCTGGAGGAACCAGTTAAACAATATCCCCAAGTAGATAATCGGATAAATCAAGAACTGGAAGCATTCTGTAAGACAACTACTTTATAGAAGATAAAATATAAAGATCAAAGAAAATCAATGCCATAAAAAATGGTCAGAGGTGATTGTTCTAAATTTGAAAAAACTTAGACACAATCAAATGCTTGACTGGATTCTGGTTCTAGAAAAGAAGCCTTTTAGACATTTTTGAGACAATTGGGGAAATTTAAAAATGGACTGGTATTAGATGTTAGTTATTACATTTGTTCATTGTAATAATGGTATGCTGTATGGGGGAAACATCTTTACAACTTGGAGAAACATAGGAATGAAGAGTTATGATATCTGCAACTCTCTTTAAAATGGTTCAGCAAAAAAGAAAGAGACCAATCTGAGCAACATAGGTAAACCTCTGTCTCTACCAAAAACAAAACAACAAAATTAGCTGGGCATGGTGGCATGAACCTGTAGTCCCAGGTACTTAGGAGACTGAGGTGGGAGGATTGATTGAGCCCAGGAGGTTGAGGCTGCAGTGAGCTGTGATCGCGCCACTGTACTCCGGCCTGGGTGACAGAGGGAGGCCCAATCTCACACACACACACAGCACCAAGGAAAGATACATACTTTGAAATGCAAACACATACATCTATCTGTCTGTCTGTCTGTCTACCCTCCAACCTACCTACCTATCAAGCAAACATGCCATGGCAAAATATTAATTGTTAAATCTATGTGGTAAGTGTATAGGTGTTTACTATTATTTTTAATTTTATTGTATTTTTTTCCCATTTATTTTATTGCACTTTCGGTTTTGGGGTACATGTGAAGAACATGCAAGATTGTTGCATAGGTAAACATGTGGCAGTGTGATTTGCTGCCTTCCTCCCCATCACCTACATCTGGCATCTCTCCCCTTGCTGTCTCTCCCCAGCTCCCCAACCCCCACCATCCCTCCCCTATTTCCCCCCAACTGACCCCAGTGTGTAGTGCTCCCTCCCTGTGTCCATGTGTTCTCATTGTTCAACACCCGCCTATGAGTGAGAACATGCGGTGTTTGATCTTCTGCTCTTCTGTCAGTTTGCTGAGAATGATGGTTTCCAGGTTCATCCATGTCCCTACAAAGGACACAAACTCATCGTTTTTGATGGCTGCATGATATTCCATGGTGTATATGTGCCACATTTTCCCTATCCAGTCTATTGTCGATGGGCATTTGGGTTGGTTCCAGGTCTTTGCTATTGTAAACAGTGCTGCAATGAACATTCGTGTGCACGTGTCCTTATAGTAAAACGATTTATAATCCTTTGGATATATACCCAGTAATGGGATTGCTGGGTCAAATGGAATTTCTATTTCTAGGTCCCTGAGGAATCGCCACACTGTCTTCCACAATGGTTGAACTAATTTACACTCCCACCAACAGTGTACAAGTGTTCCTATTTCTCCACATCCTCTTCAGCATCTGTTGTCTCCAGATTTTTTAATGATCGCCATTCTAACTAGCGTGAGATGGTATCTCAATGTTGTTTTGATTTGCATTTCTCTGATGACCAGTGATGATGAGCATTTTTTCATATGTTTGTTGGCCTCATGTATGTCTTCTTTTGTAAAGTATCTGTTCGTATCCTTTGCCCACTTTTGAATGGGCTTGTTAGTTTTTTTCTTGTAAATCTGTTTTAGTTCTTTGTAAATTCTGGATAACAGCCCTTTGTCAGATGGGTAAACTGCAAAAATTTTTTCCCATTCTGTTGGTTGCTGATTCACTCTAATGACTGTTTCTTTTGCTGTGCAGAAGCTGTGGAGTTTGATTAGGTCCCATTTGTCTATTTTGGCTTTTGTTGTCAATGCTTTTGGTGTTTTGGTCATGAAGCCCTTGCCTATGCCTATGTCCTGAATGGTTTTGCCTAGATTTTCTTCTAGGGTTTTTATGGTGTTAGGTCTTATGTTTAAGTCTTTAATCCATCTGGAGTTAATTTTACTGTAAGGTGTCAGGAAGGGGTCCAGGTTCTGCTTTCTGCACATGGCTAGCCAGTTTTCCCAACACCATTTATTAAACAGGGAATCCTTTCCCCATTGCTTGTTTTTGTCTGGTTTGTCAAAGATCAGATGGTTGTAGATATGTTGTGTTGCCTCCGAGACCTCTGTTCTGTTCCATTGGTCTATATCTCTGTTTTGGTACCAGTACCATACTGTTTTGATTACTGTAGCCTTGTAGTATAGTTTGAAGTCTGGTAGTGTGATGCCTCCCGCTTTGTTCTTTTTGCTTAGAATTGACTTGGCTATGCGGGCTCTCTTTTGGTTCCATATGAAGTTTAAGGTGGTATTTTCCAGTTCTGTGAAGAAGGTCATTGGTACCTTGATGGGGATAGCATTGAATCTGTAAATTACTTTAGGCAGTATGGCCATTTTCATGATATTGATTCTTCCTAACCTTGAACATGGAATGTTTCTCCATCTGTTTGTGTCCTCTCTTATTTCGTTGAGCAGTGGCTTGTAGTTCTTCTTGAAGAGGTCCTTTACATTCCTTGTTAGTTGTATTCCTAGGTATTTTATTCTCTTTGTGGCAATTGTGAATGGAAGTTTGTTCTTGATTTGGCTCTCTTTAAGTCTGTTATTGGTGTATAGGAATGCATGTGATTTTTGCACATTGATTTTATATCCTGAGACTTTGTTGAAGTTGCTTATCAGTTTCAGGAGATTTGGGACTGAGTCGATGGGGTCTTCTAGATATACAATCATGTCATCTGCAAATAGAGACAATTTGACTTCCTCCTTTCCTATTTGAATACCCTTTATTTCTTTTTCTTGCCTGATTTCTCTGGCTAGAACTTCTAGTACTATATTGAATAGGAGTGGTGAGAGAGGGCATCCTTGTCTAGTGCCAGATTTCAAGGGGAATGCTTCCAGCTTTTGCCCATTCAGTATGATATTGGCTGTTGGTTTGTCATAAATAGCTTTTATTATTTTGAGATACGTTCCATCGATACCTAGCTTATTGAGGGTTTTTAGCATAAAGGGCTATTGAATTTTGTCGAAGGCCTTCTCTGCATCAATTGAGATAATCATGTGGTTTTTGTCTTTGGTTCTGTTTATGTGGTGAATTATGTTTATAGACTTGCGTATGTTGAACCACCCTTGCATCCCGGGGATGGAGCCTACTCAATCATGGTGGATAAGCTTTTTGATGTGCTGTTGCAATCGGCTTGTCAGTAGTTTATTGAAGATTTTTGGATCTATGTTCATCATGGATATTGGCCTGAAGTTTTCTTTTCTTGTTGAGTCTCTGCCGGGTTTGGAATCAGGATGATGTTGGTGTCATAAAATGATTTGGGAAGAAGTCCCTCTTTTTGTATTGTTTGGAATAGTTTCAGAAGGAATGGTACCAGCTCCTCTTTGTATGTCTGGTAGAATTCGGCTGTGAACCCGTCTGGACCTGGGTTTTTTTTGGGGTGGTAAGCTCTTAATTGCTGCCTCAACTTCAGACCTTGTTATGGGTCTGTTCAGCGTTTCGGCTTCTTCCTAGTTTAGGCTTGGGAGGAGGCAAGTGTCCAGGAATTTATGCATTTCTTCCAGGTTTACTAGTTTATGTGCATAGAGTTGTTTGTAATAATCTCTGATGATGGTTTGAATTTCTGTGGAATCTGTGGTGATATCCCCTTTATCATTTTTTATTGCGTCAAATTGGTTATTCTCTCTTTTCTTTTTTATTAATCTGGCTAGTGGTCTGTCTATTTTGTTGATTTTTTCAAAAAACCAGCTCCTGGGTTTATTGATTTTTTGAAGGATTTTTTGTGTCTCTATCTCCTTCAGTTCTGCTCTGATCTTAGCTATTTCTTGTCTTCTGCTAGACTTTGAGTTTTTTTGATCTTGCTTCTCTAGCTCTTTTAATTTTGACGATAGGGTGTCAATTTTTGATCTCTTCTTGCTTCTCATGTGGGCACTTATTGCTATGTATTTTCCTCTAGAGACTGCTTTAAATGTGTCCCAGAGATTATGGTATGTTGTGTCTTCATTCTCATTG